TTGTTCATGAGGATCAACAGGTTGTTGAATACTGCACCGAGGCTGATAATTGGAAAGGACAATTTGAGGGTCTTCAATTGGAGAAAGAAGTTTTGGCAGAGGAGAAGAATGATTTAGAGCAACAAATGAAAATGATTGCCGCTGAATTAGCGATTGAGAAAGCTTCTTCTAGTCAAGTTGGTAAGGATAAGGATATCCTTGAGTCCTCCTTTGCTGAACAACTTTCTGAGGTAACTGAATAAATAAGGAGTTTGAAATAACTTCTTAATCAAAAAGAGGTTTATGCGGGAGGGTTGGTTCAAACTCTTACTCAAACTCAGGAAGATCTTTGCGCCTCTACTGATAAGATTCAGTTCTTAGAAAGATCACTTGCTCCTCTGAAGACAGCCTATGATGCCTCTGAAGCAGACAAAGAAGAATTGAGAGCCGAGATTAACCAGTGGGAGAAGGATTATGAGATTCTCGAGGATATGCTGACACTAGATGTGAGTTAGGCTTTTGTGAATACACGCCTCGAGACCCTGAATTTGAAGATCTCAGAGGTGATGGACTCGTTCCTGATGAAGCTGATGTTCAAGCCTCCTCTTCTCAAATTAATCCTTATTTTTCCATTGATGATGTTTCCGTGGATGATGCCCCTTTAGATGATGCTCCTTAGTTTTTTCTGTTTTTTATTTGGTTGTTTTGTTCACAACTTTTTGGTGGAAAGTTTCTGGGAAAGGTTGTTTTGTTTTTTGGTTACCCCTATCTTGTTTTAGGGTTTTAATGATAAACTAATACCTTTGTTTCCCCAAGGTTTAATATATGTTTCGATTGTTTTTACCGTTTATTTTGCTCTTTGATATTTGAGCTTTTTATTTGCACTTAAAAATGCTTAAACAGTCAGTGACTTTAATAAATACAGATATTCATAAAAGAGGGCCCTTTTATATTAACGATACTGATGAAGATGACGTCTCATCTTCATATTGGTGTAAATATATGAAAAACGAAGCAAACATGAAAAAGAAATAATTTGAGGAAGTTTTATGCTTTAAACTTTCAAATTTCATACATCATTTTTTATTTATGCACATAACACTTTGTAAAACATTTATGCATACAACACTTTCATAACTGCTTTCTTTGTAACAGATTTTTGAAATTCAAAATCGGGTCTATTATCCTGTAATTAATTTTTAGCCTAAAACTCATAATTCATGTCCTTTTTTGCAAGCTTATGCCTTTCCAAGTTTTCTTCAAAGTTTCAGGCTTCTATATGTGTAGTCCCCCTAGTGTTGGAGCTTTGAAGTATGAAATTTCGAATACTGGATTACTCCTTGCTTGTGGTCCATTTCCTGAAAAGGAAAATAAAAACGGGACTCGGAGACATATGTTTAGATGATGACTACATAACCTCTTTTTCCATCAGATAGGTTGTAACCTAGACCGGGAATTTATTTAGTATTCCGCGCGTCTTTCGGTTCTAATATCATCATTTGGCACGGGCTAGCTGTTTGCCTATCATCTAAAATTGTTAGTATAATTCAAAAGAAAAAAATAAATTTGTAATTGAGTGATACTTGTCTGTGGGTACTTTCTTCTTCTAAAAGTAATACTTCTTCAGAAGAACATCATTCCAATTTGATGGTAGTATCTTGCCATCCATGGTTTCCAATTCATATACTCCCTTTCCAGCGATGCCTCGAATTCTATAGGGGCCTTCCCAATTTGGAATCAATTTTCCTACATTAGCTGATTTTGTTGATTGAAACACATTTTTGAGGACGAAGTCCTCAATCTTGAAGTATTGCAGATTAGCTTTCCTGTTGTAGTATCGCTCAATCATTTGTTTCTGAGCCGCCATTCTTATTAGTGTTGCTTCTCTCCTTTCTTCTAGTAAATCTAAATTCATTCGCATCTCTTCCTCATTTGATTCCTCGGTTGCTTGTGTATACATTGTACTTGGTTCACCTATATCAACTGGAATTAAGGCTTCAACACTATAAACAAGTGAAAGCAGAGTCTCTCCTGTGCCTGTTTTCTGTCGTTCGATAAGCCTATAAAACTCCTGGTAGCACTTCGGTCCATTTTCCTTTCGACTCTTTTAATATCTTCTTTAAATTATTAATAATAACTTTTTTGTTGACTCAGCTTGCCCATTGGCCACATAGTAGTGAGGTGAGGACCTTATCCGTTTAATTTGCCAACTCTGAAAATATTCTGTGATTTTCGTGCTTATGAATTGTGGGACATTATCATACACGATTTCTTTTGGAACTCTGAACCGGCAGATAGTGTTTTGCCAAATAAAGTCCATGAATTCTTTTTCTCTCACCTGTTTAAAAGCTCCTGCCTCTACCCATTTTGAAAGATAATCTATCAATACTAATAAAAACCGTACCTTTCCTTTAGCTTGAGGTAAGGGACCCATGATCCATTCCCCACTTCATGAAAGGCCATGGCGAAATAACCAAATGTAATAGCTCCGCTGGGCGATGCATATTGTTGCCATATCATTGGCATTTATCACATTTGGCCACAAAACTTTGCACATCTTCTTCCATTTTGGCCAATAGTATCCTGCTCTTATTAGAGTTTTCACCAATGATCTTCCTCTAGCGTGATTGCCATAATATCCCTCATGTACTTCTCTCATCACATATTCCGTTTGAGAAGGTCTGAGACATCTTGCTAAAGGTCCTCCAAATATCTTTCGATATAGATTTCTACGACTCAGACAGTACTAGGAAGCTTTTCGGCGAAGTAACTGAGACTTTTTATTGTTTTCAGGTAAAATTCCGTACTGCAAAAAGTTAACAAATTTGTTTCTCCAATCCCAAGTCAAATTGTTAAAATTTACCTCATTTTTATCTTGCTCGAGCGCCGAATGAAACAAATGTATTACTATAGCATTTTTTACATTTGTTATTTCCGCTACAGACGCGAGGTTAGCTAATGCATCCGCTTCTACATTTTTCTCCTTGGGCATTTGCACGATTTTTCATGACTGAAACTGTCTGATCAATTCCCGTGCCTTTTCCAAGTATTATTGCATTCGTGCCTCTCTTGCTATATAAGTCCCATGCATCTCGTTAACTACTAGTTGTGAATCACTTTTGATTATAATTTATTCTATACCGAGTTCTCGTGCTAGTTCCAAACCTACAATCACAGCCTCGTACTCCGCTTCATTGTTAGTAATGGGATAGCATTTTATTGCTTGTCTTATGATTTTCCCCGAGGGTGGGATTAAAACAATAACTAAATCCTCTCCTTTAACATTCGAGGATCCATCGGTAAATAAGATCCAAGTCCCCGAATTAGATCCGGTAAATACCTGTAGTTATTTTTCTGCTTCAGGAACTATATTTGTGCTGAAATTTGCCACAAAATCTGCTAAAACTTGTGATTTTATTGCAGTTCTAGGCTGGTATATGATATCATATTCATTGAGTTCTATCGCCCATTTAGATAACCTACCGGATAGTTCTTGTTTATGCAATATATTCCTTAGAGGAAAAGCAGTTACTACAGAGATAGGATGACATTGAAAATAAGGTCTCAACTTTCTAGATGCCATAATTAATGCTAAAGCAAGTTTTTCCAAGTGAGGATATCGTGTTTCAGCATCCGCAAAGATTTGCTAACATAATAAATTGGAGATTGTTTACCTCTATCTTCTCTCACCAATACCGCACTTACCGCCGTTTCTGATACGGCAAGATAAATGAGTAGCCTTTCTCCATCCTTCGGTTTAGCTAGTAGGGGTGGATTTGACAAATATGATTTTAGATTTTTGAGAGCTTGTTGGCATTCGTCAGTCCACTCAAATTGATTTTGCTTTTTCAATACTGAAAAGAATTTAAAACTTTTCTCTGAAGATTTGAAAATAAATCTTCCCAAAGCTGCTATCCTCCCTGTTAACCTCTACACCTCTTTTTGCTCGTGAGTATGTCAGGTATCTCCTCAATGGCTTTGATATGTACAGGATTCACTTCAATGCCCATATTAGAAACAAGAAAGCCTAAAAATTTACCAGAAGCCACGCCAAAAGCATATTTTTCTGGATTTAGCTTCATATTGTATTTGTGGAGAATTTCAAAAGTGCTTGAAATGTGTTGAAAATGATCCCCTGCTTGTGTTGACTTGAATAACATATTGTCAATGTAGACTTCCATAGTCTTTCCCAGGTGTTCTTAAAATATTTTAGTCACCAATCTTTGATACGTGGCCCCAGCATTTTTTAAACCAAAGGGTATGACTTTGTAACAATAAGTCCCCCTGTCTGTAATAAATAAAATTTTTTCATCTAGAGGATCCATATTTATTTGATTATAACCTGAATATGCATCTAAAAAACTTAACAACTCATGACCTGCAATAGAATCAATTAATTGATCTATATGCGGTAAAGAAAACGAATCTTTTGGACAAGCTTTATTTAGATCAGTATAATCTACGCAAACCCGCCATTTTTCATTCTTTTTTAGAACTACCACAGTATTATCTAACCAGTTTGGGAACTTTACCTCTCGTATTGATCCGATTTTTAAAAGTTTTTGTACCTCATCCTTAATCACTTTATTTTTGAAGGACCCTTGCTTCCTTTTCTTTTACTTGACTGGGGGGTACAATGGATCTTCATTCAGTTTATGGGTCATCACCTCCGGTGGTATACCTGTCATATCTGAATGCGACCAAGAAAAGCAATTTGTATTAGCTTCTAAAAATTTGACTAACTTACCTTTCATTTCCGGGTTCAGTTTCGCTCCGATGTAAACTTTTCTATTTGGCCAGTGCTTGAATAGTATGATAGCCTCGAGTTCTTCAATTGTTGTTTTGATATGTTCATTCTCTTCTGGTTCTTGAATAACATCGGGTTTTGAATCTACATCCGTCTATCCTGAAACGCTTTCAGCTGAGGTTTGTATTATTATATCCTCCACTGAATTCTGTAGTTGCTATTTCTCATTTGTAATATCATTTGTTGTGCTTGAATCCGCCACTAAAGTGATAATTTAAGAAGCCTGCTGATCTCCACGGATTTGTCGAATCCCCCATTGTGAAGGAAACATAATAACTTGATGTAAGGTAGACGGTACAACATCCATATCATGAATCCACAGCCTTTCAAGAATTATATTATAAGCCATGTCAGTGTCTATCACCTGGAATTTCGTATCCTTGATAACTCCTTCTGCAAATGTAGTAAGCACTATTTCCCCTTTCATGATAACACTTGAATTATCAAATCCAGACAAAGATCGTGCTTTTGGTACCACCTTGTCGTGAACTTGCATTTCATTCACCACCCTTAGAAGAATAATATTTACGGAGCTACCTGGATCAATCAAAACTCGTTTTACATTAGTATCATGTACAAGTAAAGATATTACCAGTGCATCATTGTGAGGAATTAACAAGCCATCCGCATCTACATCATCAAACGTTATACTGTCTTCATCCAAAATATGGCAAACTCGCTTTCCATGATTAACCGTGACTTTCGACATCTTTTTTGCAGCTATATATGTCACACCATTGACCTCTTCTCCCCCGCTTATCACATTGACTGTTCTCTTTGGAGATGGAGGTTTTGGAGGCTCTTGTCTATTCTTCATATAGGATTGCTTTCCTTTATCACTGAACACGTCAGTTAAATAACCCTGCTTTAATAAATGCTCAACTTCACCTTGTAATAATCTACAATCTGCTGTTTTATGGCCATGATCGTTGTGAAACTCACACCAGAAATCTGAATTTCTTTTGCTCGGGTTTGATCTCATTTCTTTAGGCCACCGTACCTTCTCTCCCTTACTTCTTAAAATGGCTACCAACTTGAAAGTGCTAACATTGAAACTGTAATCTCCAATCCTTACGTCTGTGTCAGAATCACTACCTCGCGCATCTCATCCTTTTCTGAACCTGGATGATGAACCCGCATCTTTGTGCCTTGATCTAGGATCAGACCGTATGTTTTCCTGTTTAGACCACAAATCTCGTCCCGCAGGTCCCATGTAAGGTTCGTACCTATTTTTTTCGGACCTTTTTTCAGATTCTGAACGTCTCAAACTTGTTCTTTCATCGACCCTTGACTGTGTAACCGTGTCTTCTTCTATCCGCAGCTTTGTGTTATACCTGTTGTACACATCATTCCATGTTGTAGCAGGAAATTCTCGCAAACTTTTCTTAAGTCTTCTCGTGGCTTCTGAACTTTTTTCATTTAAATTGCTTGCGAACGCCATAACTACCCAATTATCTGGTACTTGTGGTAGCATCATCCTTTCACGTTGAAATCTATCCACAAATTCCCTGAGTAACTCTGTATCTCCTTATTTTACCTTAAAGATGTCTTCCATCCTTTTATCAATATTCTGAGCTCCCCAATGTGCTTTTATGAATGAATCTGCAAGTTCAGCAAAAGAATTAATAGAGTTTTCAGGTAAAAGAGAATACCATGTTAATGTCCCTTTCATGAGTGTTTCTCCAAATATTTTGACCAAAACTGATTCAATTTCCTTCTTGGTTAAATCATTGCCCTTTACGCCAGTTATAAACGCAGTTACATAATCTTATGGGTCGGTTGTCCCATCATATTTTAGAATATGAGGTATTTTGAACTTTTTAGGAATTGGCAGAGGAGCCGCACTCGGCTTCTAAGGTTGCTGCGAATACTTATCAATATCCACACCTTATATTACGGGAGGTACGCCTGGTATTTGCTCTATGCGATTGTTCTGCTCTTTCAACTGTTTCTGCAAAGTTAGTACCAAACTTTGTAAATCTGAGTTATTAGGTATACCTCACCTCCCATCACGGGATTCATTAGGAACTCCTCCACTTCCAAAATTATCGATCCCCGAGCGTGAGTTTTCAAAAGTCGCCGTATTGGCTGGTGGAAGGGTTTGCGGCATGTTAGGCAACCACCTAACAAAGGCCTGAAGAGCATTATTCACGTGTTCCACAATCAACTGCTTTAGAACGTCTTGTTCTACGGTTTGTTCATCCCCTTGTTGATCATTAGCGTGTGACGTGGATCTCTCAGGTGATCCTCCTTGGGACTGGCGAGGTGATTCTGTTGGAGAGTGATGTGGTGATGTTCCCTCTTGAAGGTTCAGTTGGTTATTTTCGTTACCAGTTGACATAATTTAGTTGTGAGAAAGAAGGATTTGGAAAGTAAAAAGATTATCATATTCCCGGTAACAGAACCAATTTGTTTAACCAAAAAATAGGATCTTTGGTCAAAGCCTATATTTAGAAGAAATCGGGCTACTGATAACCAAATAATACCTTACTTCCTCAACAATTCGCTTGAAAAGAAATAAAAATAGCAATGGGAATTAGCAAAAAAGAGATAAGGAATGGAATGATAATCTATCCCTGAAATTACGTAGAAAGCTTTTTTGAAGCAAGAAAAATGTAAGTACATTTCAATAGTGCTCGAAACTTGTCCTTACAAGTGAGATTCTATATCCTTATATAGGAGTATCCAATTATAACGTTTTTCCCTATTTATGACGAATTCATTATGAGCATTAATGGTATTAATTGCTCGTTATGGTTGATAATCATAACTGACACATTCGTAACTGTAAAGGCCTTGTAACGACTCCGGTTCCCTTTCCTTATTTACTGCTGGTTCATGAATCTTCCTTCTTTTTGGTCTTGATTCATTCCGCCCGCGCCTCTTCAGCAACTGTTTAGGCTCGGTCATTTATTCTTTACTGTCTCGTGGGTGTTTACTCCACATCTTCCTTGCTCCATTAATTTCATTAATGGAATACACCAGTTGTTACTTCACTATTATTCCACATATCATTCTTTGTCAACTTAGTAAGATTCTACGTGTGACGCCTTTTTTCCATCAATACAATTTACCCAAAAGAGGATCCATAATCGAGTGTATATTGTAACTGTTTTTCAATTAGCATCATTTCATTTCTATGTCATTACCAAAATCTCAACATGGGTTTTCACTAGTCAGTACTATCGTTAATCAATCCATATATAACAAAAAAGGACAATATCCATTGCAAGCAAAGGATGAGATCTAGACTGAGTTCAACTAAACTCATAACTTTTTATATGAATTAATTATACATATTTAAATTAAATTTAATAAAATCTATATTATAAATTAAATTCATCTATTCGTTAACTCTGAATCTCGAATTTGTCAATAGAGGTGTAAAGCTGTTTGCGCCGTTCGTTCGGAATAAGGATATTTTGAGGTTTTACTTATCGGAATTATAATTCCGAAACTATAATTCCCCATTCTATATGATAAATAATATGCCAGTTTTTTTGGTATAACAGTTACATTGATTTTAGCTACTACTCCTAATAACTAACCACGGGGTAAATGTAATTTCAATTTTAGAGCAAATACTTTGTTCCCATGATTTTGGAGCAACTTTCAAATTTTAAATTTTATATTATGCAATATCTCATATTCCTTATGAACGCTCTGTGAGTTATTCATTGTCATTATAGGGAATATGCATATAACTTGCAAATTAAAGACTCAGTACATGAACTCAAATTCACTTTATAAAAGGAATGGAAGTTTTTCTCTTGATAGTTTCTCTTGAAATATTATTTTTTTGATTCCTTATATTTGATTATATATTTAAGTACATATATTCATTTCGATCAAAAAATAAGTCATTGGACCCTTATATATGTCAAGCTATGTCAACCAAGAAAAGCAATACATGCAAAACTTTGATTGGAAATTCTGCTCTTCCTTTGCTCTGACGAGCAGCTAACTGGTACAAAATTCAAAATTACATTCTCTTTGTTTACCCGAAAAACGGATAGAGTTAAATTTGTACACAATTCTAAGGATATATGGTATAACTTAATTCAAACCGTAAGGATAAATAGAAATATCAAATATGGATTGCAAAGAGAGCAAAGTAAACAAGGTTGTAAAGAAGATAATTTTTAGGAATGAACACGTTGAATCAATTTATGAAGCTTAAAAGAACAACTCTTCACTATAGGAGAATAGGTGCTTGAATTACAATGTAAGCAAAAACTTGGTCCTTACAGAAATAATAACCATCCCCTTTATAGTAGAAGGATCTTATTTTAGATATAATTAAAAATATATAGTGGGGGACCCATGATAAATCAGCTTTTTCATAATTCCTGTAAGGGTTCTCTCCTCTAGTGGGATTGCAACGACTCTTGTTTATGAGCTCGATATTGACTCGAGTTTTCGGTCTTGACTCGAGCTCTCGATCTTGACTTGAGCTCGATTCTGACTCGGATCCTTGTATTGATTCGGGGTCAGTGTTGGTCGGTCTCTGAATCAAAAGCTCGATAACTTTACTTTGCATCATAGTTCGATTTGGATTCGAGCTTGATAATGATAACGAGCTCGACATTGATCGGTCCCTCAGGCTTGAAACTTGTTTGTACCATCTTCGGAACCCATCTCAAAGTCTTACTCCGATCTATTATGTTTTGACCTCGATCAATCGTACGAAGGCCGAAATCTATTTTGACCGTATACAGATAATCTCCTCGTTTCTCGGGAAGGATGTGGTGATAAACGATATAATTTTTTAACGGCTCGATCGGATTATAAGCTGATATTTACATTGGGCTCGACCATGACGCATGTGATAGCTGTCCCGTCGATTTAGTCTTTCAAGGCATTTAATGCATGTCAGACGGTGGTCGGCCACCGCTGATACTGAACCGCTATTCCTTTAATCTATAAATAGCCCTTCCTTTTATCATTTACCACTTTTACATCTTCAATCTTCCAAATTTCCCAAGTTCTTTTTCGTACTCTCTGAGTTTATTCGCAAATCTGTGATTCTTCTTTGCAAGATTCTTCTTGTAAACCACCAAATCTTTGTCACCTTCTTTAAATCCAAAATGGTGAAGACATCAAAAACCGTCCCCCAAAAAAAAAAAGCTTCTTCTTCCCAATCTGCCGCCGACAAAACACCGGTGGATCCACGGCCTGAGGAGTGTGTTCTGGCGGCGTGTGTTCTTACCTCC